GCAGGAGATTGTCTTGACCATGTCTACATGCCTAAATGCACTGAGTTGCCGCCATGTGATTGGCTGATTAGAAATTAAGTGTTAACAAGCAGTTGGACAGGTGTACCTAATAAAGTGGCCGGTAGTGTGTGTGTATATACACATACACACATCTATACACATATGCACATACCATTCAGTCAGTGTCTGAATAGAAAGCCCAGTATGTAAACACCTGTTTGTGTGCGGTTGTGAGCATGCATGTTTAAACAAGATCTCTCCAATGGAATGTTTCAAAGTGACTGTGGGGGGACCAGACCCCGAGAGGGACCCCAAGCGCGCAACCCCAGAGACTCCCGCGCCGGAAGCCCCCCCCCCCAAGAAGAATAGAATAAACTAACTGAACTTGAACTTAAACCTGAACTACTTTAACATTCTATTATTTGGCGCTCCATAAATCACATAAACACAAATGTTATCTTGACAACATCCCTGGTAGATTTCACCAAATGAAAATGTTTTGAATTTTTATTTCAAGCAGAGTTTTTAAATTTGACAAAAGAAGCAAAAAAGAAAAAAACACTATTGTAATGGAAATTCTGTTCACCTTTGAGGTTTATTCACCTTTAAAGCAAAACTCCTTCGTGAAATCACAAACTAATAAAATGGTTTATAGTCAAACTTCAAACTGAGTTTCAACACTTTTTGACAAATCTTCTAGTTTACTGTACCTTTTTTTTAATGTGGAGCTGACACAGCTTAAAGTACATTAAAATTGACCTTGTGAAGTTTCTCCCTGAAGGTGCAGTCGGAGATCAAGAGGAAATGGCGCAGCTGGACGGTGAACCGGTACTTTGCTGTGGACCTGAAGCAGCAGAGGCACCCTTCGTTGGCCAGCAGTGGGGTGAACGGCGGGACTCAGCTGTCCATCCTCAGCAAGAGCAGCTCCCAGATCCGGATGTCCAGCCCACTGGCGGAGAACGCCAACATCAGCCTGCCGACCTGAGCATGTGACTGTCCCCCGCAGTCGACGTCAAGGTGACGATCCGCTAACATTAGACCAACCAGAGCAGACCAAAGTGGCCCCTCGCACCTCTTACATTTCCACTTTTCTCCTTTTTAAAAAGAAAAAGGAAACGCATTTACTAGAGGTGCCCAGCTGGCTTTCATACTTTAAAGTTTTTATTTAAAAGCAAAATTATTTGACTATTTCATTTCTACAAAACAAACTGTGGGTTGCAAACTCTCAGAGTTACTGAAGCACCTTATAATTTTAGATAAATGAATTCTAACCCATCTAATTCAATTTACCTCACAAATGATACAACTAAAGCTAGTGCCAAAAATAAATGATCAATTGCAAAAGCTAAAAAAAAAACAAACCAAGCAAATTAAAAGATTGACAGTCGAATATTAAATAAAAGGGGTCACATTTGGTTGTCGGTGTTTAAATGAATGTGCTTTAAAGTGCCATACAGTTTTTTGCCTGACTGAGTCACAGTCCAAAGTTAAACATCAACCAAACAGTCGCTTTGCTTGTATAAAAGCTCACTGTTTTAATGTTTCATGTGAAATTTAAACTTGTTTTTACAATCAGCCGTAAGTACGGGGTATGTCAAAATACACATAGAAATATAGATGTATATATACTTAAAAAAAACAGCTCATGGATTCTGTAAATAGTTGTTTATGGTGTCTAGATCAGAAACGCTCCCTTTAGCATAACACTGTATTGTATTGACCTTTTCAAAAAGGAACTGGAGCCCAAATCTGTAGAATTTATCACGGGTTCTGGAGAACCGATGAATCTCGTCCTCGCTATGATGGATTGTTCCTTTTGTGAGAAATAGATAACGAAAAGTTAACACAAACTCTGCAACTCCAAACTGTGAGTTGCCATCAGAGCAGATTCTTCATGCTTGCATTTTACTTGTGAGGTACGAGATTTTTTTTTTTAGTGGTCACACTTAAAACATCTTAAATCTGAGTTGTTTCCAGATGAAACCTTCAGCTGCACGACAGGAGTTGCCTCCAGCTGAGTTTCATCTTTGCAGACTGATCGAAAGCATTTTTTTTTTCAGACTGTGATCATAAACAGAATATGCCATTTACAGGAGGCTTCAGTCCAAAGCTCCTCATCCGTGCAGGATTTTACTTGCGCTGCAAACATCTAGAGCTCGAGCACATCATACCACCCCGAAAAGCTCCTTTTGATTTTGCTCATTCATCACTTCCTTACACCCACATTCCAAAGTGCCTCGTCAGTCACTAACAGCCATCACTTTAAAATTCAGCTTTCAGTTGTGGTTTTGGGGAGCGGATCGTTTAAAAACGTGCAGAAAGTCATTTCAGTGTGGTGTTTTATGGCGACTAAAAGATCCATTCTGACATTTTCTGAGTGAAATTCAGCATTTCTTAACTCTGAATAACAATGTGAACATGTTTTTTTTTTTTGATAAAGTTGCATCATTTGTAAAATCAGCTGGGCTTTTTCGAATTATCTTTTTACAAACTGTCTGATCTGAAATGAGCATTTCAGTGTTAAACATGTTAGCAGTCATCACAAAAGGCTTTGATTTAACAGCTCTTGACAATCACTGAGTGTTGCTCCTTTTTTTTCCTGTACTTCTGTGCAAACAAGCAAATCCAATAATTGTGCAAGCAGGAGAAAGGTTTTCTTTTGGAGTGAGATGTGAAAAGACGTGTACAGGAGGCCTTTTCCATCTCATTTACTTTAACGTTTCTTTTTTTTTTCTGTTTACATGTTTTTATAACACTGGTTGAGCAGATGTATTCATTTTCCATTCAACCATGCGCCATGTACAGTATGCAAGCTTCTTTACTGATGTCTTATTTATTGCATTGATGTACACTGATGTTCACTTGTTCAAAGTGCCATAAACGTGCAGTGTCCTGTGGGGTGACAGAGTGAGACGTGTGGCGAAATGTCTTGTGTCTTCTGTAGACGGAAAGAAAAAAATGTTGCTGTTAAAGTTGCAAAAGCATAAAGGTGCAACTTCTAAAACAGCTTTATTTAAAAAAAAGATTAAAATTGCATCTGCTTTGATAAATAAAGCGATCAGTGAGTGTTGGACAAGTAGGAAAACTAGGGCGACTGTGAGAACTGCAACAGATAAAACACAAAGTGTGTATGAGGGTGTGATTAAAAACCGCTCTGCTGCTGGCGTGTTTCTGTCACCAGCAGTCATTCTGAGTTGAACCGGGCTCAGAAGGAAACGACCATGTTTTAATGCTGTTATTGTCTGTGGGAAGAAAAAAAAAAAAAGGCTGAAAACTCCTAACATGACCATACCTGTGCTGTGAATTTCTTTACCACTAGGTGGCAGCAAAGTATGACAGTCGAAGCCATCTAAGGTTGCAATCAAGCTTTTTATTTTTGTTTGTTTGTTTACAACTGTTTATATTTATATCATAGTCTTATCATTATTAACAGAAGTCTTCATGTGTATAAGCTTCATTAAATATTAGCCTTGTGAAGGCAGCAGGAAAATTACAACTATTGTAGTTTTTATTCACTACACAGCAAAAGTGAGCACTTTACTACTAATTTGTGTTGCTTACACGATCTTCAGTTTAATCGCCAAAACACACAATGTGACAGATTAGTTGGTCTAAAATCAGAAATATAAAAAGATGTAAACTTGTAAAGACTTATCCCTGCCGGCACTTTGAAAAGAGTTGAAAATTGAAAGGAACTAAACTATAATCTATTTTCAAGTTGTTCTTTTGACATTTATTTTAACCGTTGTTCACTAAAACATGACAAAAACAATAAACAAATATTTAAACTTGATTTTAAAACTGAAACACTAAATTTGTAGGGGAGCTTTCTTCAATTGGTTCCACATCTTAAACCACCGCCCTCCTTTATCTAAACATACATTTTTCTGTTGGACATGAGACACACTCACACATGTCCTTACAGTATTTGCTGGGAAATATACTAACCTAAAGTTAACATTACTTGGCAGTTGTATTGCCAGTTTAGCACATAGATGAGAATAACACTAGAATATAATCTAAATAAAAGAGTCGAGGTCCTCTGGAGTCTGGATGAGTTTGTGTTGAAAACATTTTGTCTGTTCTCCAAGAGACTTCTTCAGTCTGAGGTAATGTCAGTCCGTCATCCTGATGATCCTTGTTTAAATGTGAACAAACAGTGTTGATTGTTAACATGTTTGTCCACCATGATGAGGTACTGCTATAAGGCTACATTTCTTTGGAAATGGCCTCTGTGTGTTGATACGAGAGAAAAATCTAATTTAAAAAGTGGCAAAGCTCTTGGTTTATTTTCCTAAAATATTAATTTATACACTTTTGAAATATACTACTTGATTGGTATGTAATAAAAAATGATAATTACACTATTTTATTATAATTGTATACTTGTAGCTGCTGGTTAGTGAGCAAAGGATGAACTTAGTTCAAAAACACATTTAAAACTGATTTCATTTCCAAATAAATGTGTCACTTTATACAGTGTTCTGTATAGTGTCATAGAAAGTTGTGACATTTTTTATAAGTGTGCTAGCTATACTTTATTTGTTCCTGATTTTGGGGGATTTGGGATGAGATGGGAAGGTAACTTTATGAGCTTTTAAAATAATTTCTGTTCTGATCATAAATACAGGAAATGGTTGTCTATAAGAACTCACTGTAAAACAGGCTGATTTTGTTTTGTCTACAAAAGGAATCTGCATGAATTTGACTCATGAGCCCTTTTCTGAACGCAACATCCAAGAAATATGTTGAAAGCAACATATCAACCACCACCTGTTTAACATGGCTGGGAGATTATATATATAATTTCTATTGATCAGCTGTATTAAAAAATGTCTTATTCTGAAAATGTTGAAACTTTTTTTTTCATTCTGTGGTTCATAGCTGCACATTTTTTGTTCTTACCCAGTTTCCTTCATGTTCATGGCGGTTCAGCCAGTTTGGTGTAGACTCTGTGTGAGTTTCAATGATTGCCAATGAATGTACAGTTATCGCTACTCAGCTGCTCTTAGATGTTGCCTGCTTTCAATTTGCCCTGGTGTACAAATGATGTCTTTTCTCTATCACATACGTTGTATATTTTTTGCCATGCAGGTGGACTTATTGACTAAGATCTATATTGTTTGTGACGGTGTTTTTGTACATTTGTTTATGGTCCAGTTTTCAGAGTGTGTGAGCATTTGAAATTTCGGCGAGTGTATTTCGTATGCATGTGTACGTAACGACGAGCATTTGTAGAAAATAATAGTAACATAAATGTTTAAAAAAAATCTAATGTATAAAGTTTCATTTAATTTTTGTTTGAAAATGTAATGGAGTGCCACGTGTACATGTTCTGTAAATGTCCAACATCCATGTTCCAGTTGTGTAAACTGACTGCAAAATAAATGTGTGGAAAGTTGCAAAGACTGAGGTTTGTTTCAAATTTAGTTTCAGTCATAAAGAGAAACTTACGTCACAACAGGACAATTCTTATCCTGTAAAAAATGCATTTCTACACCACATACAATGCATTCTTCTCAGTTAAATGAAAATAACACGGAGACAATATATGGATGACTGTTTTTGTACAAATATATCACAACAAATTTTAAAGCAATCCGACCTTAAATTTGGATTATTGTACCAATCTGGTAATTCACATGAAACAAGTGAGAGAACTTGAGAGAATTACTAAAACCATCTGATTTAAATTCAACAATTTTGCTTTGCAATTACTTTGCAAATCATTGTTAAGAATGTTTTCTCACTTTTTTATTTTATTTAGTAGCTATTTATCAATGTTTTGTATTAATCATTACAACAATTACAATTTTTCAAATAAAAACAAAACGACAGATGAGAAGACGAGCACATTTATGATAGTGTAGTACATTTTGAGATGAGTCTTTAGACATGAATTCAGACTAAAACTGAGCTTTAATGTGAAAAGTCTGCAGAGCAACACTCACCTGCCACTTTATTAGTCACACCTGTTCAACTGCTTGTTATCACAGAGAGCTAATCAGCCAATCAGATAGCGGCGATTCAGCGCCTTTATGCATTTAAATGTAGTGAAGACAGAAACAGTTCAAACTGAGCATCAGTGTGGATTTAAGGGATTTTGAATATGGCGCCAGATGAGCTGTATTTAAAAAATGGCTGATCTGATCTTTAGGGTTTACAGAAAATGGTGTGAAAAAGAAGAAAGATATCCAGTGCGTGGCAGCTGAGTGTGCAAAAATTGTTTTGGCATTAGTGGACTGAGTTTCGGTTCACTGAATCCCCGTCCTGCACCTTTGGGATGTGCAGCTCTGCAGCCGCTGATGCCATCATTTGAATATAAACCAAAATCGCTGCAAAATTTATTCCACAGTAAATTAAAGTGTATCTTACCCCCCTGTGAAAAGATAACTCTGCCCCAAGGCGAAATTTGAAAAATGCATCAAATTGGGTAGGGGAGGGGGGGTTAGAGAGCAGAGGTGTGGCCAGGACGAGAGAATGTGACAGCTAGCATTAGCATAATTGATGCTACATGGAGAGTGACCACAGCGACGCAGATAGTTACATCTCTGAACGGTCTGAGGTGGAGGATTTTTCACCCGCCTCCTCACTAGAGGCAGAGAGAGACTTGATCAAGTCAGCTCAGTCTGGGACTGACTCATGTTGGCTCCCTGGGTCAGGACCTTGAGCTCCAGCTCCAGCAGCCTCGGCTGAGCTGTCCGCCTCACACCACACCAGCCTCGGACAGAGGAGGTGGAGCACTCCGTGACAGCCTGACAGAAAAGAATAAAAGCATACAGCTGCAGCTACTCACAAGATTGCTAGTTTGAAGGTCAACAGACGATCATGCTAAGCTTGCTAACTGTTCCACCCTCTGACTGYTGCAGGGGCGTGTCTTAGAGAGAGGCTTTTATACCAGAACATGGCCGCTGTGATGAAACCGTGGAGAAGACACGTCATCGTGGAGAGCTGTTAACCAATATGCAAATTAGCCTGCAGTACCACTGCTCTACCCATATGAGCAGCAAAAACATGTTTTTAGACCAAATATTACAGATTTGAACAAATACGCACAAAAACATCAAAATTAGCACAGAAACAGTACTATATAACATTTTAGACACATTCTAGACAGTTTATCAGCTAAAAAAAGTTAATTTTGGGGTAAGTTACTCTTTAAGGCAGCTCTGAAGGCAAAGGATGATCCAAACTGGTACCAGTGAGGTGTACCTAATAAAGCGTCTGGTAAGTGTATTTCTCTCGTATTTAAACATGTATTAATTTCACAGCTTTCTCCGTGGAAAATCTTAATCTTTGCTCATTTTATATCTATTCCAAACTGTAATCTGAACCTTCTGATTGCTTTCAGTTCAGGGCCAGCTCTGTCTCTGTTTCTTCCTTCCCAATGACAGCTGTATAAGTCAGGCACCATCAATATGATAGAGCTCACTGGGATCTAGCTCCTCCGAAGCCATTTGCTCACATTAACATAAAGCTTTTTGACGTGTTGCTGCCGTAAAGAGCTGTTCAAATGACTGACGTAGTCCTGTTCTGTTCTGCCGAGGATTTCCACCTGTTTTTATTGTTTTCCTTCCTCGTCAGTGATCACACTGACGAGATGTTAGCACTGGAAGGAGGCAGCCCCAGCCCCCCGCGGGTTCGGATCGTAATCCGAGTGATGCTCCTCTTGGCTGGCGTGAGTTGATTCGGATTGTGGCACCTCCACAGCCACTTCCGCAGCTCCGTTTGAACCTGCAGGCGAAAGCGAAACATGGCGAAAAGTGTTTTGTGTGGAGTGTTTGCGTTCCGAAAGTTGCCGTTCACCCACCTCTCCGTTCATGAAGCAGTAAAGAAGAGCAACCACAAACCCCTGTAAGAGAACACAACTGTTTCAGTAATTCATTTAAACAAATAAATATGATTTAGTCTTTTTCAGAGTGCAATGAGCTGCTGAAATATCCGTTTAGTAAGCAAACTTGGCTCATCCTTTCTGTTAAAGTGGCTTTTTGCCAATGTTTGCACTCTACAGTATCTGGAAGCTCTTGGATTGAAATTTCTGTTATCTGAAATCAGTTAAAACCCTCTTCATTATGTCATAGTGCACCTGTTATTGCACTCATCTGTTCAGGTTCTAAATGTTTAGGATCTAAATCACCCAGTGAATATATATAAAGAAATCTCCAAATCACCTAAAAATAAATCATGTTAAAATCTGACTTTTAGACAGCAACAGGATGGTTCATTTTATGTTTCGTTTACTTAAGTGAAGAGTGCAATATATATACATACATATATACAGTATATATATA